ATTTTAACCAGCAAAGAACAATAAATTAAGAAGCTAACTAAATCAACTTATATTATCCATATATAGCTAACCGGCTTAAACCAATAAAGTTCTATTACACGTATTCTATATTTCTACTCCCCCACTTTTACTCCATAATGTGACAATTGATGATTAGTTATTTTCATCATATGAATTTCAATGAAAATGTCAGCATCAAAATTCTGTGAGAGATATTAAAAGTTGGGAGTAGAATTCAGAAATAATAGTAATATTTTTGTGTATTAGAGCATCCTCATTATGAGATTTAGGACCAATTTTTTAGGTAAATTGAGTGAGATGGAGGAAAGAGAGAGAAGAGAGAAGAGAGAAGAGAGAAGAGAGGGAGAGAGTTGTGTACTTCTGCAAAAATGGGGTTTTGTAGTGAGTGCACCCTCACCATTGAAGGGAAGAGTTGCGCGTGCACCGTGCACGCGCCAGCCTGGGTGTTTTTTATTTTAAAAATTTTAATTATATTTTTTTTGTCTCTTTTCTCATTTTTCTTTCCTAATCACACATGTAAAAATTCCTAAAAATCTCACACTATTGAGGATTCTCTTAATTCAATAAGCACTTCTCAAAAAGTTAGAGTTTTGAAAACATAAAATGAATTAAATTAAAATTTTATGATTACCAAATTAATTATTTCAACTGGTTTGTAAAGAAATGAGAGGAAGATGACAGAAAGAGTGTGTCGGCATTCACTTATCGCATCCATGTGAGCAATGGCGGATTGTGGCCAACACTTATTCACCTACATACTACCATACATACACTACACATAGGCTCCTGTCGTCCTAATGTATGTACTAAGTTAGGTTTTGCCGCTGATCTGACTGATAATTTAAGATTTTATATATATATATATATATATATATATATATAAGATTGATGATCTGATCTGATCACCTTTTATTTCTCCCATTACATCAATATACTGTATCCATTATATGCATGCATTGCATATCTTCAAAGAATCCTGAGAAGAAGACTTAAAAAGCTTAAAGCTAGCCAACCCCCCAAGGCCCCAAGTCTTGTCACTTTATTCATACTGTTTGATAATCACCTGTGACTCTTCTTCAATTCATGTTTTCTGTTTTTTATGTATGTCAGAATTTTATAACTTATCTTATCATGATAAAGTACGTGGCATGTCATCATTCACTCCATTTCGAACTATTAATCAAAAAGATGCTAAGAATGACTAAACATGTTATGGCTAATTGTAGCTTTCGATGATATCCTCTTGTTTGGTTTAACCAATAAAAAGATTTAGTAATGATATTGGAAAGGGAAAGAGAAAACATTATTATTGTTTTTTTTTTTAATTTAAGAGAAATAGGCACAATCATTATTTAAATGTGTACTCTGTATGAAGGTGATGAAGTCGGTATTGAGCTAAACTTAAAATATTATATATATTTTTTGAATGCTACTGGCTCTATTACAATGTAGTATCTGTTCATATACTTTCTATATTATATATGATTACTGGCCAAACCAACTGTTTTAAGATTGTCCTTTTTATATGTTATGGTTCTTCGCGCTAATCGCGATAATATTTTTTATATTATTAGAATATAAAATGTCAGGTACCCTATGTCAACAAATTTCAAAATAAACATTTAATATACTAAAAAATAATCAATACTTTATTTTGCAAGGTAAACTATAATCTACAATATAATAATTGCTCATATTATTATTATAATAATATAATTTTCAAGACACTCTTTTTTAATTAGTGCCTCGGAAAGTTTCCCTTTTTTCTTCCACAACACCTTCATCATAAAGATGTCGTGGAAAGTGGACCTTGTATCCAAATTTTGTAGTAGTGTCAACAATGCCCACGATAAACAATATAATGTTTTAAAAAGGTCTACATGGGCAACTCAACTGGTCATAGGGATGAAGTTTAGAAAAAATGATCAGGAATCGAGTTTCGCCACAGTGTAGGAGCAATCTCTTAAAGTGAGGGGAGCTTATTGTACGCAATAAATAATGATCTAGCCTCTGTAGTTCAGTTGAGTTACCATAATTTACATTCTCCTAAATGTCCTGTCTGGGCGGGAGTGTGGGCCACTTGTTTAGAAATATTAATGGAGTTTAATGAAGATGGGGAAGAGAGGTGACCATGGACGGTTGTCTACTTGTCTTGGAGACAGCTAGAGATATTTTGGGGTCTAGTACTTTGTTGGCTTTCCAAAACCCAAGTGTTATATCTTTCCCATGCAAACATTTATATATAATGCATCTTTAAAATATAATCTCTTTGTCTCATTTCATCTGTCTTATAATTATTCATTGGTTAAATCATCTATTTATTCTTTGTATATTTTCTTTAGTATTTTTTTAATTTATTTTTAAATTTAATTTTTATGTGTTCAATAATACTTTTAGCATAGTTTTTATTTTCTAAATATACAAATTTTGTATACTAATACTAAACTGTTAAAAATAAGAGAGATAAGGGAGAAAGATGGGTCATTTCTTATTCATTATATTCATCTGTATTCAGTCATAAAATCACAACACATTTATATATAGTGTACAATCGTAACGTAAGATATAATTGAGACATAAATACAAGAACCGTTACAACCGTTATATAATCTATAATAATGTTCACAAATGATATATTTATAACACTCCCCCTTGGACATTATTTGTCAACAACCTTGCCTTGTTAAAAATTTGCTAGGAAAACTCATCGAGAAAAACCTAAACAAGAAAAGAGTACAACAGAAAATATATATTATATTCATGCCTCATTAAAAACTTCACTAGGAAAATCACATGGAAAAAACCTAGTTGAAGAAAAGAGTACATGATATATGTAAAAGCATATATTGTATTGGTGGCCTCATTAAAAACCTTAAGTTAAAAAAAACCCTGTGGGAAAAACTTAGTTAAGGAAAAAAGAGTACAACCATAAGCTTTCAGGGCACAATCTACAAAATCTTCAGGATTTTGGAGTTTGTCAATTTAAGCAATTATTTTGCAACTTTTCCCCATTGTCTTAGTATATCATACTCATGCTTTATTAAAAACCACACTAGAAAACCCAATGGGAGAAAACTAGTGAGGAAAAGAGTACATGATATTTATATATTTATGTGTTGCAAATAGTGCCCAACTGTTAGTCTTTTACGACTTAATCTTCAGGATTTTACGTCCAATCTTCCAGATTGATTCGAGTAAATGTACTTCCCGTCTCACCCTGAAGATAACAATCTATGATTTTACAAATATCATGTACTATTTTCTTCAACTAGGTTTTTTCTACGTGGTTTTCTTAGCGAAGTTTTTAACGAGGTATATATCCTTTTTGTCTAGGTTTTTCCTATCAAATTTTCCAGGCAAATTTTTGACGAGGCATGAATGTGAGAAGATAATGTCCAAGGAGGAAGTGTTATAAAGATGAATTATTGTGGACATTATGAGGATTGATTGTGTAACGGTTAAATATTTATGTTTAGCATTATTGCTTTCCGTTACAAGTGTATATTATATATATATTGTTGTAATATGTAATGATGAATGAGAAGATCCCTCTCCATTCTCTTTATTTTCCTTTTCCCTGCTGTTTGATTTTACAACATAAGCTTAATATTATGAAACATTGAATTAATTAAAAATAACTTAAATAAAGTCTCGTTAATCGAACTAGACAGATAAAATAGGATGGAGAGGATATATAATTACCAAGTAACTTGTAGCTTAATGTTACCTCTATGACCCTCCTAAATATGAGGTTACATGTTTGAATTTCAATAAACATATACAAATATTATAGGGAAAATGGCACTTTTTCCCCCTGTGTTATATACTTATAGCATTTTTTCCCCCTCAATTATTCAAGTGGCTATTTTTCCCCCTGAAATGTTAAATGGACATCTTTACCCTTAAAATAAATATTTTATTTATTTTTCTTCTCCAACAAATTATGACCACGATTCGGTTCAAACCGAACAGACACTATAGCAACTAAACTGAAATATTCCAATTACAATTTAGAATCGAAACTTGATATTTAGAGTTTATTAAAATCGCTAACTGAAACGGCCGGTTCATGTTTCAAACTGAAAAAAATAAAATACATTTATTGTTGAATTTGGACTATATTAAAAATAAAAATTAAATGTTAAAATAAATAAGATTCAAAATCGCGATCCGCATCTGGAACCGCTGGTTCACGGTTCAGAAACCAATTTTTTTTATTCATAATTTTAATAAACTGAAATCTAAATATTGAGTTCTGGATCTGAATCATAATCGAAAACTTTCAATTCGATTGCTATAGTGTCCGGTTCAGTTTGAACCGAACCGTGGTCACCCCTATGTATAAACAATAATTTGTTGGAGAAGAAAAATAAATAAAATGTTTACTTTAAGGGTAGGAATGTCAATTTAATATATCAGGGGGAAAAATCACCACTTTTAGAATAATTGAGGGGGCTAATGTGCTTACATAAATAACTCAGGAGAAAAAAGTGCTATAAGTATATAACTCAGGGGGAAAAAGTGCCATTTTCCCAATATTATATATTTACTTATTTCTCAAATTTATAACATAAATACACAAAAATTCATGACACGTGTAAAGAAGATGGAGAAGAGAGGTAGCTATGGACGGTTGTCAACTTGCATTGGGAGACACCTAGAGATACGTTGGGGTTTTGGGAATTTGAGGTGTAGCACTTTGTTACCTTAATTACCAAACATTTATTGTGCATCTTAATCGAGATAAATTGAGTGAATGATCACAAAATTTTAAGTTTGACTTTCTTTTACTTTATTTCTTTTATTTTTTATGGTTTTTTGTAAATTAGGATTACAAGACGACGCTGAAAATAAGGAGTTTGTTTAATTTATAAAAAAAAAAAAAAAAAAAAAATTCAACTTGTACAAATCATATTCGGATGAATATGAAGGGGCTAAAGAAATATGATTCCCATTCTAGCTCATAGGCTTATATATATATAACTTTCAAACACCAAATAGCTATACAATCGAATCGTCACCAAAGAAAGATGCAAGAAAGTCCCGAAAAGAAGAAAGCTATCTTCTTCCTCATTCTCCTAATTTCTTCTGCAACTTTTCTTGGCAACTTTCCATGGCTGACCCTTCTTCTTCTCCTCTTTCTTGGGGTTTCTCTCTTGTTCTTCTTGAACACCCAGTGGCTTCAGCCGCAGCTGCTGCGATGGAAGATTCAGAGACAAGGGATCAAAGGCCCCAAACCCTCTTTTCTCTATGGGAATGCCCCTGAGATGCAGAGGATTCAAGCTGCTTCTGCTGCTTCCATGAAAGCTTCAAGCCATGGTGAATTTTTAGCCCATGATTACACCTCCACTCTCTTCCCTTACTTCGAACAATGGCGTAAAGAATATGGTAAGTCAATCTATCTCATCCTCACCTCTTTCATATTGGCTACATAGATTTTATATAACCTTAATTAATCGGTGTCGATAGTATTGAGTATTCCCGATCAAATAGTGGTTATGAGTTTTTCTGGTTACTCAATTTTTTTTTTTTTTATACAATTAAGTACACTATTATACATTGTGTTATTTAGAAAGCTTAGCTTAATAGTTCAGTAGATTAAGAGAGATTAGAAAATCTCAGCGGCGGTGACAGCGTGGGAATTTTGTCTGTAGTGGTCTCTTGTGCACACGGACATTTAACCTTATTTCTATTTAGTTATCCTGATTTATATCATCCAAAATACTGTCCTACTGGATGTAAAGAATCTTTAGAGTTGGGGATTCAACCTGGCCTTTTGGGAGAAGGTATAACCATGCATGTTTTAGAAGTTATACCGATTAATACCCTTATCTTTCTCAAGATAACATAAGAATATACACGATTGTACTTATGGTTAAAGACACAATCGCTGATTGGAACCTTAAGATTTTTCATATAGGTAAAATAGAGTAAAAAATATTTTTTTATATTTTTGTAGATTTCAATGTTACATAGCAAGACAATAAAGGAGTTAGTGAGTAAGACGCAGCCTTCAAGTTTATATTAATTTATAACTTTGCTGTTTGGCTTTTACATTATTATTATTATTATTATTATTATTATTATTATTATTATTTTGCATTGGAGGCATATAACTGTGTGTTGTCCTTGTTATACTTAATTGATTTTGGCATTTATCATAATAATTTAATGATTTTTTTTTGTATAGATATTCTTGATAAACAAGTGATGACATGTGTTAGTCCTTTCCTTCCCCACTCAAGATTTGTGTAGATAGGGAAATTTGTGTGTATTATTTGCCTGACCTTTCAGTTGGACCGACAGGCACGTGACCAGTCACCACCTTGCTCAAATAATAAATATTAATTAATCCCAAAATAAATGGTCAGGTGTGACATAATTCTGTCATAAATTATTATTTTTAGTGTGATTTACCCACACACTCTTAGGTAGTAGCTGATGTGATGATATGATTTGGATCTTTTAAGCATGAAATCTCCGAGGAGCTACCCTGAATTATGGATGACAACGGAACGGGACAAGGGCAGAGTATATACTACCCAACCCCGTCTCCAAAATCCCGACCTCGTAGGGAACTAGGTGGAGACTTCAGTCAAATTCGTGTAATTTTTAATTTTAAAAAATAAAAACTTAAGTCTTAATTTTAAAAATTAAATTATCCCCGTCCCTGACGGAAAATTACATACACTCTCTGTCTCGGTTTCCTAATTTTTCTTTTATTTTCGTTGATGACGGGACAAATTGCCCTCCCTACCCTTAATGGTCCCGCTAATACTATGAAAAAAAAACTCTCTTTGTCCTTGAACAAAAGATGCTAGGTAATGATCACACTCCAATCCAAATTGTGCTGAAATGATTAAGACTCCCACTAGGACAAGCATTGTCTGAAAATTCGGAAATTTTAATAAAGCTGAAAGAGTGAATGATTTAGGGTGTGAACAGTGCTTAAGGTAGGGACAATGGCTTGCTATATCTGTTCTTTTGGGAGTTAATGCAGTTTTTGTTTTCAAGTCAAAATTTTGATGTGATGGGTTGTGCAGATACTCAGCATGTACAAGAAACATCATGTGAGCCTAACAGTTTAGGGTTTAATAGCCACCCGAGGTTGCCACTATATATGTAATAAGTGTTGGGGAAACTTGCAACGCCAACGCGCGATCTGGAAGCCTTTTAAGACGCACGGACACTACGGATGTATGGTAGAAAGAAAATCTGTGCCGTGTTATAATAACACTACCTTAAAAGCGTTAATTGCCGGGTAACGGTGCAGTTAGAACCCTGGCACGCTTTCGACCGGCTACACAGACCTACTACGGATAGCTTGCACTAGCAATCGCGTAGGCGAACCTCACTATTGCTCAGACGACGGGAGGGAGAAGGAGAATCGAATAAAGGACTCGAATTCAAGGTGTGTTTTGAAACGATGTTGGGAGCTGCTATTTATAATAAGCAGCCCCCCCATCCCTTCCACAAAAGGAAGGACGCATATCATCCACAAATAAGCGCAATATGCGCTGTTTCACATTAATAGCGCATGATGTGCTATCCACCCCTTCATTTTCCTTTGAAATTTTCCAACAATCCCCCACAAATAGACAAAGTTTGAACTCAACGCACTTAATTTGCTTTGGTCGCCTTGAATCTCATGAGGTCATACTCACGACCCTGAGATATCCCCTGTTAGGTCTATTCTAGGATAGACCTTCAACTCTGTCAAGTCTACCTCATCGCAAACCACCATGACCGGCTACAGAGTATCTATGGGTCCCAAACCCATTTCCCTTGATGTATCAAGGACGGCCTTCCTGTTTAGGCCCTTTGTGAAAGGATCTGCAATATTCCTTTCAGATCTCACAAAAACCATTGTGATTACCCCATTTATTGTTAACTGCCGTACAGACTCATGTCTGACTCTAATGTGTCTACGTTTCCCATTGTAGACACTGTTTTGCGCAACACAAATGACAGTTCGTGAATCACAATGTGGTGAAGGTGTTGGACACCCCCACAATTACACGGTTATCACCATGTTTCTTAGCCACTCAGCTTTTTGGGATAACCCCTATTATCTTTCATAAGAGGCGGTTAGCCCTTTTCTACACAAGTTAGGGATCTCTTTTAGGTCTATCTCAACATGGACCATGGTAGCCCTTTTCCACTCAAGTTAGGGATCTCTTTAGGTCTATCTCAACATGGACCATGGTAGCCCTTTTCCACTCAAGTTAGGGATCTCTTTAGGTCTATCTCAACATAGACCATCCCAATTGAGTATAAGGCACCAAGAGCACTTTGTACTCATGTCATTATGCGGTGAATTCATTAAGTTTGTCTCAACAAAACTACCATTTCTCAAAGAGTTATGAATTCATTAAGAGTTGTAGCTCAACCTCACATGTGGTGAATTCATTAGGTTTGTCTCAATAAAACCACCCTTTCTCAAAGAATTATGAATTCATTAAGAGCTGTAGCTCAACCTCACAAGTACACACACTGTCGGAATGACCAACTAGTGTACTATTTTGTAACTCTTTTCATGGCTTCGTTTGACCACAGAAGTGGGATTCACCACGAATTCATTACCACTTGGACTTCAAGTCCTTCCAATGAGTCAACGACTAATCCTCATAATTAGCCCTCAAGTAAGTTGATTCTTTTGACCAAACTTACATGCATTTTGACGAGTACTTCGTTTACTCGTAAATAATCCCTTGAGATTTTCATGTTTAACATGAAACATTCTCTTTCATCATTATTCTTAATACCACAGAGAAACTTTTGATGAAAATATAAGGAGTTTATTACCCCCACAAGCAACACTTACAAATAATTTTGTCAAACGTATTTGATCTCTTACCCAGACTGATATTTGGTGCCCAACTTTAGCTCCTTTGTAGACTGAGTTTTGCCGACTTACTTTGTGAACCATTATAGTAGTTTTGCACTCTGCCTGATACATGCTCAACAGTTGAATATATTTCAACAAACTTGGTTATCTCAATTGATCACAATTACCCTTTAACTAGGAATTATAGGTATTTCAATATGACTCAACCAAGAGTTTAAATAATATATATACAAGTGCTCATTGTTAGTAAGCTATAGAAATAATGTTGTCCACATGCTACATCAAGTTGAATAACATAATCCCAAGGAAGGACGCATATCATCCACAAATAAGCGCAATATGCGCTGTTTCACATTAATAGCGCATGATGCGCTATCCACCCCTTCATTTCCCTTTGAAATTTTCCAACAATAAGTGCCTCTGTTGATGATGAATGTACCTAGCTAGGGATAGAAGATGGCAGGTATGTAGGATAAGGTGTGGAATAGTTATTGAAAGAATTGCACCTTAATCCCGAGAACCTCCACAGGTGACTGGTTCTGGAGTCTTGTTTCGGAGTCATTCTTAAAAGAATTCCACACCTTATCCTACATACCTGCCATCTTCTATCCCTAGCTAGGTACATTCATCATCAACAGAGGCACTTATTGTTGGAAAATTTCAAAGGGAAATGAAGGGGTGGATAGAAGATGGCAGGTATGTAGGATAAGGTGTGGAATAGTTATTGAAAGAATTGCACCTTAATCCCGAGAACCTCCACAGGTGACTGGTTCTGGAGTCTTGTTTCGGAGTCATTCTTAAAAGAATTGCACCTTAATCCTGAGAACCCCACCCGTGACTAGTTCTAGAATCTTGGTGTTTCAGAACCATTCTTGAAAGGATTGCACCTTAATCCTGAGAACCCCAACCAAGTGTTTCAAAATCATTCACGAAACTGAAAGAATTGTGTACCTAAATCCCGAGAACCCCAAGTCTTGTTTCGGGGTCATTCTTAAAAGGATTGCACCTGAATCCCGAGAACACCACCTGTGAGCTGTGGTGGAGGTCTTCGGGATCCGTTGATGTCAGAAGTTTAATGTTTGTTGTTACAGGTTGCATATATACATATTCAACAGGGAACAAGCAGCATTTGTATGTGAACCAGGCAGAGTTGGTGAAGGAGTTGAACCAGAACAGTAGTTTGGGGTTGGGGAAGCCAACTTATGTCAGCAAGAGACTTTCCCCTATGCTTGGGAATGGGCTTTTGAGGTCAAATGGCCATATATGGGCACTCCAGAGGAAGATTATAGCACCAGAATTCTTCATGGGCAAAGTCAAGGTACCTGGAAAAAAGCCATAAACACATTTTATTTCAAAACTTTAATGGTCTTGATTGAATTGCAGGATAATGTGAACCTGATGCTGGAATCAGCAGAGCTGCTGGTGGGAAAATGGTACGAGGCAATTGAAACGCAAGGCGGGGAAATGGCGGAGATTGACGTGGATGAAGACCTGAAAAGTTTCTCGGCAGATGTGATTTCCAGGGCTTGTTTTGGAAGCTCTTACAATAAGGGCAAACAGATCTTCTCGAAGCTTAGAGATCTTCAAGTCATCATTTCAACCCAGAGTTATCTCTTCGGTTTGTCATTGCTAGGGTATGCTGTTCTGAAACTTGTTCCCTCGCTTTTCCTGTCTGTTACACCGAGCTAAGAAACTAAGAACGTGTTTGTGAAAATTGCAGATTTCTTCCACAGAGAAAGCACAAGGGGATTGCCAGTTTGGAGATGGAAATAGACACGCTTATCTGGGAAGAGGTGAAGAAGAGGGAGGCGTCTTCGTCGGAGAAGGACCTGTTGCAGTGCATACTGGAAGCCGCCATTAACGATGAAAACATGGACGAGAATACGTCGAGGAAATTCATAGTCGATAACTGCAAGAACCTGTATTTTGCAGGCCACGAGGCCACCGCTGTGGCTGCATCCTGGTGCCTTATGCTCTTAGCTCTCCACCCGGAATGGCAGACCCGTATACGCGAGGAGATGGACCAGCTCTGCCCCAATGGCCATCTCGATGCCGAATCGATCACCAAGATGAAGGTGGTGACGATGGTGATTAATGAAGTCCTGCGTCTTTACCCACCGGCTGCATTCGTCTCGAGAGAAGCCCTCGAGGAAACACGGATAGGCCACGTCCTCGTGCCCAAAGGGGTGTGCGTATGGACATTGATCCCGACTCTGCACCGTGACCCCGAGCTATGGGGGCAGGACGCAAACGAGTTTAAGCCCGAGAGGTTTGCCAACGGCGTCTCCAATGCCTGCAAAGTGCCACAAGTTTTCATCCCGTTCGGGGTCGGTCCTCGCCTCTGTGTTGGCCGCAACTTCGCCTTGGTTGAGCTCAAAGTTGTGTTGTCTTTCATAGTCTCCAAGCTCTCGTTCTCGCTTTCTCCAAAGTACAAACACTCCCCTGCTTTCCAGATGGTCGTTTCGCCTGGAAAAGGAGTAAGAATTCTGATTCAGAGATTGAAGAAATAGGATTAGGTTCTAATGGCATCAAACCTCAGATGTACTCCAATAAAAAAACACAAAAACTTTTAGGAAATCCTATGTACTTGAGGTCTGGGAACCATAATTTCTGCAATTATCTGATCTTTATCTCCAAAAATGTTAGTTGTGTGATTTATGATCTGACAGGAATCTCTTTGATGCTGAACAAACAACAGAAACAGGATAAAGAGAGTAGTCTCATTCACATATCTTTAAATATTTTCAGTGGTCCTCTTTTCACAGTTTGGACCTGTCAATTTTGAAAGGGAAAGCAACTAAGAAAAACGAGTCCACAACGAAATAAAATACACGTGCAAGCCATCACCCTGTCGGGCGTTCAACTTGCCCACATGAACACGAAATCCCTCGCCCTGGGCCCCACACCCCAGCTCAACAGGATTTGTGAAGGTAGTAAATCAGAGTGACTCAGCGACCCATTAAGGACGTTCGACTAAACACTTTGCAAAAAACTATAAACTATGCACACTTCATCCCCGAGCGGACCGCTCATCCTTTTTTTACTTTTATACATACTGCACCGGTATTTGCATCCCGGATTCCCGGTGTTGTTACATACACATGAGTTCAAACTCCTGAACTCGGGCTTTAGCCCCGAGGGGACCACTCAGCCTTCAATGAAGCCTTTTGATGGTACCATGTTGTCTTCAAACTCGTTAATGCATCCATCTATGCTCCACTCGAATGCCAATCTTCTGGATCAGTAAAATTAATCGAATCCAGGTTAGTCTCTAGAGAGCAACCGGCATCCAAAGGAGAGGCCCGGTTCCTTCTTATTGTTACTTCGATCCAGAAAATGGAACATCATATTCTTACAAGATCTAGACTTCGGGGGACCTAAAATCTTCGGAGTACCAAATGCCACAGAGAGAATATAATAGAAATGGAACAAGACAGGGAATATTATCATAGCTGTGAATACCACTTAAGACTAGAGTGGGGCGGGGACCAATAATACGTCAGGCTGTTTATAATAACCCTTCATCAGTGCCTGTAGTAATCCACAAACACACACAAAAACAACTTAGAACAAAAATTACCATATAAAATAATAGGGGACCACCCTACAAACAGAATCTGTTGACATTTCCCAGGGATAAAAAAAAAAAATGAATGGAACAACTTAATAAATGCACTATTAATGGCGGGAATTATCTCTGATTAAATGTCATTTTCCTAAACAAGATGTGATGCATAAGCGGTCCCCCCTCCATAATTGGTATAACCATGCAACTGAGAGAACTAACCCTAAGCCTTGTAGTCCAAAAAGTAACGTGACCTAATAAAAAACTAGCAAAGAACTCATAGTTCCAGCTCACATGGCAATGGAAGATGACTCGAAATTTTGAAATGGGATAACTGTACTTTCCTCGAACAACTTGCACCAGAATACATAAATATACAGTATTTCAAATTGATTTTTTCAGGATAGATTGCTCTAAGGAAGCCAGAAACAAGGAAGCCATGCAAAGTTCAGAACAGGCAAACAAGGATCGTTTCATTCGAGTAAAAAAAACTGAATTATACGCTCTATCTTACTCGGGAAATTGGCTTTTGATTTTCCAAAGATGAATCTTGTGAATAAAACTCCTACTCTGATAGTCTGATGCAACAAACGGAAGCCAAATTCAAGTTTATTCTCCATAACGGAAACTTAAAAGCCTTTCAGGCTGCAAGGTGATAATAAAGCCTGTAAGAAACCATTTTGCACAACTTTTTTCCACATAATTTTATCGATCTGTAACCAAGATACATACACATCGAATATGGATGTGCACATATATATGCTTTAAGTAAGTCTGCCTTATGACAAAGCAAGCAATCTCTCATAATATCAAGGAATTTTGGGGCATGGGGGGGCAACCCTAGCCAAGTTGGTCAGATAGTTGGCTTGGTAACCACACGGTTCCAAGTTTGACTCCCCGTGGGAGCTGTCTATTGGCCTTCTTGGTTACCTTTACCTCCTTCTGATCCTTTGCCGGTTAGGGTTACAAGGTGGGCTTCACCCAGAGCGAATTATATCTACGGAGAAAACAATACATTGTTGTTGTATGGAATTCATAAGGAAACTAGGTTCTCATTAAGCAGTTATAAAGCTCGATAAATTCATTGAAAAATTTAGCAACATCCAATACTTAGAACTGTCAATGGAAGAACATAAATCGGGAAGCTTCGCTATGTCACACTGATCACTCTTTCATCATTCGGGAAACCACTCACCAAACGAAATAACGAGAATGAAATAGAATCATTACCACATTTATTATATGACGGAGACGAGGAGAAGATCCCACCTGTTGAAAGCTGTACCATTTGAAGGAAAACGTGTAAATCCCCGAGGGTGGAAAAAAATGAAAGCATGGAAAAAGGGAGCTCCCTTCAGTCCAAGCAAGGGAAGAGAGGGATAGAAACTATCTCCCGCATCATTCACTCAATCACAGTAGCACAAAACATCTTCTTTTCTACTGAGTGGTTGGATGAATGAGTCGGCAGCTAATTCAACCCCAATCTCATCCATGAGTGGGCTGAAGGAAGCTCTCTCGAACCACTCCTCAATTCAGCAAACGTAACCAGTGTCATTAGTATAAACCATGACTTAATACTAAGGTATAATGTCACAAAACATAACATTTTAACCTGCCTTCCAACTACTTAGCATTCAACAACTTACTAGATTCCTCAGAAGAGATTCAAACACGTATTGTCACAAACGAAGACTCAGAACTATCCCACTAACTCAATCATCTGTTAAGTAATGAAAATTCCAATAAAAAGAAATTTGCATTCTAACCGAGTAACTGAACAGTATTTAAAGGGCAAATGAAGGTTACTTTCTTCAGATATTAGCCTGCCAGAAAATAACAAAGAAATATACAAACAACAGCGATTATCAACTTCTTGAACCAAATTGGGTGTTAAAGAAATTAAATGAAGAATATGAACATTGAAAAATCTTCAAAACAAGAATGAAGTTGAAGCATGTGCAACTTCTATCCACTTTAAAGAAAATAAGAAAAGATAATTTCTTCATTGATAAAAGAAAATAATTTCACATAAGAAGCTAGTCGCTCCTTTGTTACTGCTCAGAATATGGATATGGGGCTTTAAGTCACTCCTTTCTACCTTAAGGAGGAAAAACATAGAAAGCAGAAATGAGGCGTTTTCTCTCTAGCCTAACACTCCGCAAATTATTATTATCATTATTCTTGATCTTTGAATGGTTTTATAAATCCTAAAATCAAGGTGCATACATAGATATATCTTTATTATTAATTTAATCATCCATAGAAAATAACTTTCAGTGTACAAGGAATAGCTCAAAACATTTTCAGGCAATCTTATGAGTCTAGATAGAGGATCATAAATGGATCAATCACAAAGCCAAAAGCCATGAACTTAACAAAGCAACAACCTTAATATATATATTTTAAAAATTAAAAAAAAAAAAAAAAAAAAAGGCATGACATCTTAACCAAAAAGATACTTAAAATAGTAAAATTTCTTCAGTAAGAAAAATGGGAATTGAACTAATCAAATTGAAATCCCAACAAAAATTTCAATTGAAAAGTGATGGCCTAGAAAAATCAAGATCCATTTGATCTTTCTTAATGTAATAAACTCACTATGGAGATCCAACCTTACTAATTGGAAGAGTGAACTCCTCTACAAACCCTAAAATCAACAATAAGCCAACAAAAATAAAAAATCCATTTGATCTCTCTTGATCAAGTAAACTCTTTTTATGGATATCATTCCAGACAAACAGTAATTCTTATAAGAGAACAACAATACATGTTCCACAAATAAGATTGCAAAAAAGCAATTGATTAACCATACCCATCATAAATAAATAATTAAATAAAAACCTGGAAAGGTACCACCTTTGACCCTTAAATGGATGAAGCTGCAAAAGGAAGAATGGAATGCAACAAATAAGAGTAGCAGGGAATAAGAGGAAGAAGAAGAAGAAGAGAACAAAATTAAAAGTGCAGAAAAGAATAAGATGGAGGGTGAGTTGAATAAATGCTTAGCTAAATACAGCAATATTTATAAGGAAGAGATGGTAGTAGTAAATGGAATGGAGGAACAGTGTCGGGTTAGGAAAAGGGTGAGTGTTTTCTTGCAGGAAATACGGAAGAAAAATGGAGGAAAATGGTGAATGTGTAAATCAAACGAAGGGTGAGGGGTCGCTTTCGCCATGAGAGTCAGAGGTAGAGAAAGCGACTTTAATGGCAAGATCCCCTCAAATCTTTCTTTCACAGTACACATTTACACACCCTTTCTTCTTCTTCTTCTTCTTCTTTTACAATACACCCATATATATATACTTAGAAATACACACACACACACACATATACGTATATATAGTACATATAAGTGCTGAATTCATGTTATTGTTTGTGGGCACAGAGCAGAATCTACGACTGCAAGATGGTCTGCAAAAGATGAGAGAAAATAAAAGAAAAATCCATTCTTTTTCCAATCTTTTTCTTTTTAAATCTGCCTGCAAACTCATACCTCTGGAGCGCACTGAGGAGGAAGCTAATGAGTACACTTGCCCTCATCATCGATCAAAGGAGAAATCCTAAAACAATTCAATTTCACAGAGCCTTTCTTTATTTTAATTAATGATGCATTATATAAATGCGATCTAGAAATTCCTCATAGGCATACTTATATTATACTCCGTATTATACAATATTCAGACCCCTTCCATGCATATATCATATTGTTATCTCAACTATTATGATAGTGTTATATTTTAGTCCTATCTTAATATTTTTATTTAACAATTATAAAGTATAAAAAAGTAATTTTAAATTTAAAGATAAACAATATAATTTGTACTTGAATGGATGGATGGAAAAGTAACAATTGTGTTCATTTTATATTAATTTTTAAAGGTCATGAAGATTACCCTAACGGATGAGAGTGACTAAGTGAAAATATATATAGTGCCGAATTTGGAATAAGAAATTGTAATTGTGAAAGAGGGTTTGAAGTCGTTGTTCAGTTTAATATTTTATGAATACATTAAAAATTACGTACTGTTTAATTCTTGTACATTATGGTGCTTTGTCCAAGTCATCGTGGATGATTTGATTTCATATTACCACAATAGTTAAGGTGGTAACGTGATTGAACTATAAATAGATGACTAAATGTAGAGATAGACTATATTTTTTTTTATATGTTTGTGTGTGTGGAAGATTGATTCGTGATGAAATTGAAAAATAGATGGTTGGACTTATAAGGGCCTGGGCTATCATTCGAGGTCTACGGTTGGCATGGGAGAAGAGATTTCAATAAATACTACTCCGTAATAGAGAATGTTTCTAACAAGTTAAAGTGGTCAAGTAGTGATTGAAAGGTGGAAAGATGTCTTGGAGCCCTATTCAAAAATTGGTAGAAGCTTGTCACCAAGAGATTAGAAAGCCATGAAAGGTTAAGCAGGTTGAACATATCTATAGAGAACAAAATCGAGCAACACTCTAGTCAGGTTATTTCTTGACACATAATGGAGTTTGAAACTTGAAAGTACGTGATTGAGACTTCTCCTTCGTGTATCATGAGTGTCCTCGCTAAAGATGAATGGGGTATCCCATATACTAGGACTTTATATATATATATATATATATATATATATATATATATATATATATATATATATATATATATATATAAGGAAGGGATCAAGTGCATTTGTGAATTTTCGTACGGTTGTGCGGTAGAATAATGTGCGTGAGTTATATACTTAATGTGCGTAAGTCGCGTGCTTAATGTGCCTGAGATTTGTACATAATCTGCGTGAGTGTGTAATGTTAATGTACGTGAGTTTTGTACTTAATGTGCCTGAGTATTGTGTTTAATGTGCGTGAAGTTTGTGCTTAATGTGCATGACTTGAGTTCAGAATTATGAGCTCAGAAAGAAGCAGAACAGAAAGAGAAGGTGGGTGAATCTTTTCTGATTGTGTGTAAATGGATTGATATATGTAAACGCACATATGGATGTTCTGATTTGATGTTAAAAACAAGACAAAATTCATTCCTCCACCACTTCGAAACAAAAAACAAGAAGAAAATGCAGCAGTGGATGCGCATAATTTTCACAGCAGTGGATGAAGAACACACTCACGCACATTAAGCACAGAACCCACGCATCTTAGGCACAAGACTCACACACATTAAGTACAAAACTCACGCACATTAACATTACACACCCACATACATTAAGTACAAATCTCTTACACATTAAGCATAATACTCACGCACATTGAGTACAAACCTCACGCACATTAATCAACCGCACGGGAAGCATCAATCACACAGGAACCTTACACTATATATATATATATATATATATATATATATATATATATATATATATATATATATATATATAGAAACGCTCATATGTGGTCATGTCATTAGGTGTGATCGTGTGGTCATATCTGTGTCGTTGAATCAGTTTAATCTAAAGGCAGTGGTAATTCTGAGGATTTTCGCGCGTTTTAGTAAGTGGGGGTGTTATGGTAATTACAGTGACCATTTATAGCGGACGGGTTCCAGAATACACCAACAGTGTTGACAAAATACACCAATAGTGTAATAAAATACACCACAGTGAAACACACCAATGGTGCATTCCCGTGTTATGGTAATTACAGTGGCCATTTATAGCGGTCGGGTTCAAGAATACACCAATAGTGTTGACAACATGCACCAATAGTGTAATAAAACACCCAACAATGTGATTTTCCCTATTCTGGTGTTTTATGACAAGTTTACCCTTACAGTTCGCTGGGTAGGAGAATGTGCGCGAAAATACTGGAAAAATCTTGATTAATATGATTCATTAGATCTATCTAATCTAATGGTCTATAATTGACCATATGACCACACCCAACAACATGGCCACATGTGATCACTCCTCTCTCTCTATATATATATACAATTCTTTATAATATATGCTAACAGTATGTGATGTTCGATATAACAACCAATTTAGTATTGTTAAAGAAAAATACATTTCAGAATAAGTTTTAATTTCATGATTAATATTTTATTTTATTGTTTTTAAAATGTTATCAATAATAAAATTACTTAAATTTTATGTCGTGCATCGTACGGGGCAAAAACTAGTGTGTATATATATATATATATATATATATATATATATATATATATATATATATATATACACTAGTTTTTTTTACGCGCTTTGCGCGAATGAGATAGTGCCCAATGATTATTTTTAAATAAGTATTTCAAAGTATTTCAACGCAATATTATATCGGAGATGTTCATGCATATGTAAATAAATATTGAATTTGTTTATTTAAATCGGTAATTCAAAATATATAAATGCAAGATAATATTTATTGAATTTTCTAATCGATATTTGGTAGTGGTAGTTTTCCCCTACATGTTTCATGCATTGTGAGATGTGTGTGGTAGGTTATCATGTGAAAGTATTGAACAAAATATTAATAGTTATTATATTTGTATAAAATACTTGGTAAATAAATATATATAATGTATTTTGTATTATAACTTTGATATTTAATTACAAGATAATATATAAAAAAAAAAAACAATGGACAATGCAGTGAATATAATAAATTGATAAATTTGAAGGTAATGAATCTTTGAATTGTAGAAAATAAAGATAATATAATTAATGAAATTATATCTATTTTTAAATTTTTTATAATGAATATTTTTTTTTAAATAAAGGCATTATAGACATCTAATTCTAAATTAATTAAATGCATATGTATTATTTTTTGTTGTAGCTACTACTTTATTTAGTTTAATAAGAGTAATAAAGTGGCGTATATACTTTTCATCAACAATAATGCAATCATTGATTTTTTTTTTTAAAAAAAAAATGCATACAAAAAATATTAATGCAAAATTATAATTGAAATATTAAGTTTTTTTTTCTGATCTAAATAATCAAAAGAATATTAAGTTTTTTTTTTGATCAAATGATTTTTAAAGTTCTTGATTTATAATCTTTGATGCTTAACTTTGAATGTTATGTATTTAGTCAGACTAATTATTTGAACAAAGTTTATGTTAAACTTTATATTATATATATTTTAACATATTCGTAGTATATGTTTAACAATTATGCTAACTCTAATTGGGATGTGGTTCGAAACTAAGACTTTTTTTATAGAAATTAATGTGTAAGTTAAAATAATAAATACTTAACGGAATATTCCGTTACTAAAGTTTATGCTAACGGAATTTAGGTTATTTAAGGGAAGAAAATAATATAATAGAGGGCAAATAAGAAAAATCAATAAAAAATACTAAAATAAAAATAATATAAACCATTCATTTTAAGAAACAATAGTATAATATGAATCATTCATTTTAAGAAACAATAGGACCGACATTTTTTTGTTCCAGTTAAGGGCCTAACATTATTGGCCCTTATTAGAATTGTAGATTGTAGATAGATAGATTGTAGATTGTAGATTGTAGATGTAGATGTAGATTGTAGATATATATATAAAACTATGGACATATCTAAACTGTCGATTTATAAATTATAATATGTTTACGGTTGTAATTTTTCAGATTTATAATATTTTACTCTAGAATTCGTGTGAATGATTAGTCAAATATTGCAACATTTTGCCTAACTAAATGACAAGAAAAGGGGAAAAAACCAAAGGACAAAAAAGAAGAAGAAAGATTTGCGTGCAAATTAATATTATATTCATGAGTTTTTTTTCTAAAAATGGTCCCTCGACTATCGCTTATTCTCAATTTTGCATTTCGACTTTTAATTGCACCCAATGTGGTCCCTTGACTTTTAAAAACTCCACCAAATTGGTCCCTCGTTAGAAATTCCATCTATTGAGTGTTTAAATGAAGGGCATTTCCGTCCATTCACCTATTGCTACCTAATATACTCTAAAAATAGTCGAGGGACCATTTTGGGAATAGTCGAGGGATCATTTTGAGAAAAACTCATTTATTTATTTTCATTTTTTAACACTATCAAATTAGAATTTCTATACATTTTTTTTCTTACAAATATAAATAGTTAAAATCCACAATCAAATCTCAAAATTTTAAACGTTCTCTACAATTTTTTTCCTTTTGTCTAAACGTACAAATTTTTTCCCTACCCCTATCAAGTTTTACAATAAATTTCGTAACATTCATAAATACTCATATATATATATATATATATATATATATAATCATATAATTATATTAAAACTTCAAAAGACAATCAATCACTATGTATTACATTAAATATTATTTTTATAGTTAAAATAAAATTAT